GTGAGTGGGTGAGGGAGTGGGTGAGTGAGTGAGTGTGTAAGCGAGTGAGGGAGAGATTGAGTGAGTGAGTGGATGAGTGAGTGAGTAAGCAAGTGAGGGAGAGTGAGTGAGTGAGCGAGTGAGGGAGAGATTGAGGGAATGAGTGAGTGAGTGGGCAAGTGATTGAGGGAGTGAGTGAGTGGGTGAGTGAGAGTGAGTAAGCGAGTGAGGGAGAGATTGAGTGAGTGAGTGAGTTGGTGAGTGAATGAGTGAGTGAGCGAGTGAGGGAGAGATTGAGTGAGTGAGTGAGAGAAAAAGAAAGAGAGAGAGACAGGGATAGAGAGATAGATAAATAGATAGATAGATTAAGAGAGGGAGAACGAAAGAGAGAAAGATGACCTAGAATTAGATAAGAATAAAGTAATTCGAGGAATGAACAGGTACATGCATGTAGAGTGCATCTATCTGGGTCACCTACGTAAGAGTGGGCACTACAGCAGCGGGGTATAATCGTTTTCAATTACTCCCGTGTGCGTATGTCTGTGCTTGTGCGTGTGTATCTGTGCGTGTTTGTGTGTGTACTGTAAGTGATTTTGTGCGTGTTATCGCTCGCACCCCGAGTTGCCTCATCTTTTTCGTGATAGCGCTGCTGAGGCTCCGATGACCTGTCGCATGACCTCCGGCCGCTTGACCTCTCGCCCGACCGCCCTGGGAGTTCTGACCCGAGGCTTTGGACGGCCGCCAGGCCCCGTCGGGGTGAGGCTGTAGGCCTATAAAACGCATTTACTTGGTGCGAATGGAAAGGGCGGTTAGGGCATTTTCCCCCCCCCCCTCCTCCTCTCCTCTCTCTCTCTCTCCTCTCTCTCTCTCTCTCTCTCTCTCTCTCTCTCTCTCTCTCTCTCTCTCTCTCTCTCTCTCTCTCTCAAAATATCGGCCCAGCAAGAAGCAAGCCTTTGGTGCAAAAGGGAAACAAAAGAGGAGGCGGGGCTCGAGGGTGTGGGGGAGGCGAGCAGCTGCAAGTTGTGAGTCTATAAAAGAAGTTATGGTTGACAGCGTTGCCAGAACCATGTTGTTTTAGCTCGTTATTGCCAAAAATACTTGAGGTAGTTCATCAGGATGATTTTTATTTACTGTTGTTTTGTTGAAGCCGCCATCTCCGGTTCAGCAGCAAGGGCCGGGGAGAACTTTCACCGACAATATCTATATTTTGATTATTATTCGTTGATATTACAATTTCACTTACCAACAAAAAAAATATGATAAACCTTTATTACCAGATAAGTCTGATTTGACAAATAGAAATCAGTGTTTTTATAGAGTTTTAACATCAGACGCCAATCTTTTTAATGGGCGGATTATATATCAGAGGGATTTTGCTATCTCGCATTAGCTACGAATGTAAAAAAAAAAAAAAAAAAAGTGTTTGTTTTATGAAAAAATGTGAAATGGAGATTTTCATCTGAATATGGATTAATGATGGAAATTACACAAATTGGTTCGCATATCCTTCACTAATGTAATGTTGTTTATGATTTTCTTTCTCCGTGTACATTGCTCCCAGTCTCCTCTTTATACCTCCGTACATTTTTCCTCTCGCTCCCTCCGCTCATTCAGTCTCTGTTTCTGCTCTGCACATCTCCTGAGACAAAGAAACAAAACGTGAAAGAGAAATGTGAAAATTTCTCCATCGCATGTATAATCTGACACGTGTACACATCGGAGTGAAATACGAAAAGGGTTATTCACCGAAAGCATACCCAGACACATGCAAGTACGTAACAATGGCCATCATGGTCATCATCCGTAACATATCTGCTGCTTTAGCTTAAGCTCTGCCTTGCGCGCACGCACGCACGCACGCA